ATTTGACTTTAGGGTATAGAGACGTTTGTGCTAATAACGTGTTGGAAATGATATATTATATATATGATGTGATATGTATTTGATATATAAATGTATATATATGTGTGTGGAATCTGTGTTTAAAAAGAAGAAAGAGAACGAAGTGTGAGAGATGAGTAAGAGAATGTCTTATTACTCTCATCGTATATATCATCTTTACAAAGGCATAACAACTCTTTACTAAGTCAGTGAACTTAAACAACAAGGACAAAAACTTAATGGATAATCATTAATCTATAATGTTAAAACATTATCTCTTAACAAGTATGATACACATTGTCAAATTTGATATTAGTAATATTAAATATAATTATAGTTAACGAAGTTGACAAATGACAACCAAATCGTATGTAATCCGTACAACTATAATAAGCTTACTTGATTTATATATTTTTCATTATCCTCTTTTGAATTCTTTTGCTTAGCTTTCAATCATTGACCGTTTATAAATAGTTTAACAATACCAAAAGTTCACAAAATACTAAAGAAACTTTAAATTATCGTGTATACAGGTATCAAGAAAGTTTGTTTTCCAAGTATAAATATAATTGGACTCAACATGAATGGACCTAGCTAAAACAACATTTATGTTTACTTGTTTAGAGACACATGTTTATCACTTTACACTAATATTAATATATAATTCTACTAGTAGTTTTGTTATTAGATAGAAATTCTACTAATTGTAGTTTTGTGATTAGATAGAAACTCATTCACATTCTTCATAGCCATATTTGTTAGGAGCATATCGAATCATGTTCTTCATAGCCATACTTGTTATGATACCCAGAATTGTATCTAAACAATTATTATATTAATATTAAAAATGAACCAATCACAAAGAAAGAAAAAGTTAGATCTTATCTTTTCTCATTTCTGTAATATTTTATTATTTTCAAAAATTGAGATACCTCTCCTCATATCCTTGTTGGAGATGTTCTGAGCATATCTACGTGAAAAAATAAATTAAATTAATAGTTATGCTCTTAAATCTATTATTAATAAAAGTTGATGCTAAATGCATCTAAGGGTGTCCACATAAAATTTAAAAATTCAATTATATTGGTATACATCATCATTATTTTTAGTTAATTATATATTGTATATTAAAATTAATTAATTCGTTTTAATGGTTATAAGGAAAATTTCTAAATTTTAATTAATTTTGCTTTTGTTGATATTAGGAAAATTTCTAAATTTTAAGTTAATTATTAATAAAAAATAGTTTTGAAAATAAATCTTATTAGTCTATTAACAATGAAAAAAGTAAATTAACATATAAATAGATTATGAAAAAAAAATCATATATATTGAACAAAATTATTAAAAACTGTATTTAAACCATAATTTAATTATTTTAAAATTTTAATCATGATAAATAATTAAAATCTGAACTACTAACTTAAAGTATATTAGTTGTGGTCCGTGTTGATGTCTTAAGCCAATGAGAGCGTCCACATATGACATATATACTCATTCTCATTAGTCTATATCAGCATTTTTCATTAAACATAAAAAATAAAAATATTATTAATAATTTAAATAAATTAAAACATACAAAAATATAGAATTATCACAATAGAATGGAAAATAAAGATAATTTTTTAACTAAATAAAATAAATTTATGTCAAAAGTCTAAATCTATTGTGAAAATAAAATGGAAACTCATTGTCACAAAAATTAAACTAATAAAAACAAATATGTAAATCAATAACGAAAAAGTTAAATTAAAAAAAAATTAGCATATATATTTTAAATGAGTAATTTATTTAGAAAAAGATATTAAGATTAAATTTTCATATGAACATATAAAATTGTTATTTAAAAATATCAATGCCACAAAAAAACATTCATCTTAAATTATCAAAAAAGAAAGTCATCTAAAACTTATAATTTTTGGAAAAATATTTAAAAAAATAACACAAAAATCTTAACAAACCAAAAATGGTACTTTATGCTAATTAGTGAAGAAAGAAATATAAAAAAATGTTTAACTAACAAAAACCAAAACATAAATTATTTATTACAACATGTCAATACAATTAAAATGAAAGTCCATATCGAGAAAGTTAAATTAACAAAAAAATAGGATATTAACTTAATATCTATGTTATTTATTTAACAAGATCAATATAAACAGAATAAGTAAGAGACTAAAAAAACAAAAAAAAAATACTAAAAAACTTAACTAACAAAAATAATATAATTATTTAAGAAATCAATATTAAGAAATTAATTAACTAAAAACTAAAACGAAAATAAAGTTTTACAAAATATTTTTTTTTAAAAACACTTAAAAATATATTGACTTGATATCTGACTAACTACTTAAAAAATTCATATAAAATATTTAACTAAGAAAAAATTTATGTCTTCAAAATATCAATATTTTAAAAACAATGGTATGTTAAAATAAAATCAAAATCAAAATCAAGAAAGGTAAATTATCAAAGGAAAAACTCGTATAAAGTAAAATTAGGTTGACATTTAAGCTAACTACCAAACAAATATTAACTAAAAATGCAAATATTGGTATAAGCTTTTGAGAGTAGTTCACTTAAGATTTAGAATAACCAGTTATAGCATGTCAAAATAGCATTTTAATTAATTTAAAAAGTAAATTTAACAAAGAAAAAGTATTTATGTAAAAGATATTAGTTTAATATATATGCTACCTATTTGAAAAATCAATAACAAAAGAGATTAATTAAAAATATATATGTTTTAAGTATATCAAATCTGCAGAAAATTAGATAATTAAAATAAAATATAAAATTATCATTGAAGATATTTAAAATAACAAAAAACAAGATTTAAGAAGAAAATTAGTTTGAAATATAGTTCCAAAAACATTCATCATTTCTAAAATATTGGTGTTGACTATGAATAACCATATAAATTTTTAATAGGCTATACAAGTTTCTAAATCAAATATATTATTTAAATTTACAAAGATTAATATCTTGGTTGCGTCTGGTTGAAAAATTAACAAAGTAAAATACTACACAAGTAACTTTACATTCAAAATATAATAAGTAATAAAGTCTGATTTGTATACATATTTACTGCTTATAACTTAGTCAACATGAACAACACATGAGCAACATCCTCTAAAATTTTATTTAATTAATATAATATGACAAAGTTATAAATCAAATTCAAATGGGAATATATGAAGATAAAATATTCAAATCAAAACATGAATAAACACACAAAAGATAAAAAAAATAGTGATAATGTGAAGTCCCAACATCATTTTACATGTTTAAAAACAAATATTAGCAAATAGTTGACTGCAAATAAAACAGATCTTATAAACTGAATAGAGATATAACCTAAAATTCGTAGAAGATCTGGTGGAGAAGCAAAAAGCAGCTTTACACGATTAGTGTAGCTTACTAACAAAAGTAAATCTGAATCAACATATATCATATATTATATATGTATATGTACACAACATTAGTGAGACATTTAGTAAAGAAACTAAATATTTAAACATATAAACTTTTTTAAAAAATAAACCATAGAAATCATAAGGATACAAAACAAAACACCAAAAATTTAGTAAGAAAATCATTTTCTAAATCAAACATATGCACGTCGAAGTTGGATAATTCGTTAGGTGTTATTACTACGATTTTACTTAATAAGATTTATAATTTTATAAACAAAAATAGGAAATACTACATATTATATTTTAATTTTTTATATAAAAGAAAATTTTTATAAATATATTATAGTTTTGATAATTTAAAAAATATTAACCAAAAAATTAAACCAAATTATTAATACAGACTCGCGTGTAGCGCGCATTTAAAACTTAGTATACGATAAAAGTTAGATATTCTAATATTTGACAACCATGTTAAAACAGTAACATGAGTTTTTTTCCATTCTTGAAGGATATGAATCTTCTCTTAATGGTTACGGTATTTTATTTAACTATTTATATTGCACCTTTGTGTTAAGTTCTTATTTTTACCTTTTTGTACTTCTTATTTTCTTACTTTTTTTTTGTTCAAATTTTTTTTTTCTTACTATGTCTATCAGTCTATGTTTGTCTATGTGACCATGATCATATAAGACTGAAGGCTCTCGCATTCGCATATGAAAGGTTAAAAAAAAATTCTTTCAAAAGTTTTGGTTAAGTTATTATTAATCGTTCGGACATGAAACAACTTATGGAGGAAGATGAAATAAATTGTCATTCAATCAATAATTTAACAAGTGAGATGATATTTGTATTTTTTTTTAAACTATAAATTGTCATCCACAATAATTTCAAATGTAACCTTTTAACGAAATTTCTATTTTCTTATCAAAGAAAAACTATTATCACTTTATAAATGACTATGGTAAGTGCGAAATAGGAATAAATGTTGTTGGAGAAACAAAAAAGAATTTATGTTAAACCGTGTACGAAATTCACGTAACAGGCAGTATAAAATAGATTCAAGATAACATTTACGTCCAAGTCTTGTCTTTCTTCGCCTTTCTTTTTCTTCCTTGAGTCAATTTCCCAAATTCTTCCTCCTCACTTCTCAATTTCCTCTTTCTTTTATTATTCCTTCTTCTCTTTTCTTCCACGAATCTCCAGAAAACTTTTCCCCTGGAAACTCAGATCCGAATAATCGATCATACTAAATTGCATTTCCTTCAAATTCTTTTCGCCAAGTTTTATTTTCTCTCCCCACTTATAAAGAAACCACTAGCACACTTTCCCTTTCTTGCAAAGTCCTCAATTTTCACCACAAAAAAATTCAGCTTCAACCACTGTTGCTTGGTGGGTTCTTGTTACTTCATCATTTTACTGCTTCAGCTTTGCGAGATCAGGCTATAAGAAAAAACTCCAAATTGGGTTTCACTGATGGGATTGATAGTAGCCGTTCCGTCCTAGTGAAATCGGGTTGTGGGTTCTTTTAAAGTCGTGATATTTCTTTTTCGCATCGGAATCAAAAGAATGGATCGGAATCAGAAGATGGATCACGTCATCGGTGGAAAGTTTAAGTTGGGTAGGAAACTCGGTAGTGGATCGTTCGGCCAACTTTATTTAGGTATAACTAATCACATCTTCTATATTTTTTTTGCTTTTTTAAAGTTCTTGCATTTCGTTTGTTTAGTGGTTGTTGGTGTGTAATTTAATCTTTTTTATTTATTTTGTGTTTCAGGGATCAATATCCAAACTGGAGAAGAAGTCGCAGTTAAGCTGGTAAAATTGAATTCAAAGTTGTAAACTTTTTGCTGAGAGAGGTTTCAATTTTTGAATAATATTTGGTATTTGGTATTTGACAGTTTTAGTTAGACTAGTTTTGATTGGAAAATAGAAACTGTAATTCAGTGGTCATTCTCTCTCTCTATAGTAGATTCAGTTTTGCTCTTCTTCTTCTTCATGGTGTCATATCTTGTTTTTCCCTTCTCTAATGGTTGCTTCTCTTTCGCTACTTAGGAACCTGTGAAGACGAGGCATCCTCAACTGCAGTATGAATCGAAGATATATATGTTTCTTCAAGGAGGAAGTGAGTTTGGTTTCTAGGCTAGTTTTAATGAAGTTTTAGTAACAACACTCTTGTGTCTCTGCCTATGTGGAGCTTGACATGTTTCTCTTTCATATGGAATTAGCGGGTGTTCCACATCTCAAATGGTTCGGAGTCGAGGGTGAATACAGCTGCATGGTTATCGACCTTCTTGGGCCTAGCTTGGAGGACTTATTCAACTACTGCAATCGAAAGCTTACTTTGAAATCTGTTTTAATGCTCGCGGATCAGTTGGTAAGTACTGAGTATGCCCTTTTAGTACACTAGGTTGGTGTTTTTGAGAACTTTGCTAATCTGTTCCTTTTGGATATGTTGTATCAATGCAGATATGTAGAGTCGAGTACATGCATTCGCGAGGTTTTCTTCACCGCGATATTAAACCAGACAATTTTTTGATGGGTCTTGGGCGCAAAGCAAACCAGGTAATCTTGTTGTGGCAGCATGAGTTGGTCTATGTCTTTGAAAGGTGTCCTTAGCGTAAATTCTCCGTCTGAATTTTAGGATAGGACTAATGTTGAGTGAATCAATATTCAACCTCAGGTGTATATCATCGATTATGGACTTGCTAAAAAATACAAGGATCTTCAGACACAGAAGCATATACCATACAGGTGAGATCTGCAAACTCTTACTTGCCCTTCCTTGTTGAATCTTTTTTTGTCTACGAACCTGTTGTTGGAAAAGATCTATATGCAAAGTTTTATTAGTTGATATTCTTATGAATGTAACATGATCTTTATGCTCGATGCCATGCTTTCCTTTATTCACGCTTATCCCAGCTTGCTTTAGTAGACTTCCTTGTACATTTACAGGGAAAATAAGAATCTTACAGGAACTGCTCGGTATGCAAGTGTGAACACTCACCTTGGTATTGGTAAGAACTGCTTTCATCTCATACATCTGTGGCTTAAGAATTTGAAAACTCGTCTTCCTTGCTGACTCAGTTTTATGCTTGCTTACAGAGCAAAGTAGAAGAGATGATCTGGAGTCACTTGGTTATGTGTTGATGTATTTTCTACGAGGAAGGTAGGAAACCTTCTTCATTGCATATATTAGGTTTTATAACTTCTTAAACTAAAATGAAATCATTAAACTTAAACCTTCTTCTCCTCCTGTATCAGTCTCCCGTGGCAAGGTTTGAAAGCTGGTACGAAGAAGCAGAAGTATGACAAAATTAGTGAAAAGAAGATGCTTACTCCTGTAGAGGTACATCATTGATAAGGTTTTGAATGCGGATAATGTAATGTTTTCAGATGTCCAGTAGATTTTTGACATTGCGGTTTTACTTTTTGTAGATTCTTTGCAAGTCCCAGCCATCAGAGTTCACCTCGTATTTCCATTACTGTCGGTCACTGAGATTTGAGGACAAACCAGACTATTCATATCTTAGAAGACTTTTCAGGGACCTCTTCATTCGTGAAGGTTAGAAGCTTCCTTCTGCATTTTCGTAGGTCCTATCTTATGTATTGCTTGTTTGTTCGTTTTGATGAAACGTAACTATGCATGTAGGTTATCAGCTCGACTACGTGTTTGATTGGACAATCTTGAAGTATCCTCAGAGTGGCTCTAGTTCGAGACCAAGGGTTAGTTCTATTATTGGTTTCATTGGTGGAGATCTGAATTTCATAATCCAAAATCTTATCCTGCTATTGTTTTGTCTATTTCTTCACAACAGCCAACTCCAAGACCAGCCTTGGACCCTCCAGGACCACCTGCAGAAAGAGCTGAAAAGCCTACAGGTACATTGTTCTCTGTCTTTATATTGGAGGTGCTAATAAATAGAGAAGAATGGGAAAAAAATGTCTTATATTCGTATAATTTTGGTGATGAAAAACTTAGACTACTATATTCGTATGATTAAACACACACTCCCAAATAGTGGAAGATCGAAAATTGAGAAATTTATTTCCTACTGTGTTTAGTGGGACAGGACCTCCGAGAAAGATTTTCAGGCGCAATTGAGGCTTTCACCAGACGGAATGTTTCAAGCCAAGGCGCTCATGGTGACCGCTCTAGACACAGATCTTCTGATGATTCGCCCTCTCCCGTCAAAGAAGTGGTTAGTTTCGTTGCTTTTTCTTTCGTTTGGCATGAAAATTTCCCTACTTGGTGATCCAAAGTAGTTCTTAGGAATCCTAAAGAATGTGAGAAAGTTTGTATGTTTTGACTTCTAAAGAATGATACTAGGTTAAGTAGGAATTCTAAAGAATGTGATGAAGTTTGTATCTTTTGACTTTGTTGGCTTCACTTGCAGCACGAGTCTGATAGATTCCTTTCTTCGTCTCGAAATGGAAGTACTTCAAAGAGAGGTGTGATATCAAGTAGCAGACCTGGCTCATCAGCTGAACCAAGCGAGAACCGTTCAAGCCGACTACTTTCAAGCGGATCACGTCTCGCCTCAACTCAACGGGTTCAACAGAGCTATGAATCCAAGCCATCATCTGCAGCTGGAAGGACTGGACATGACGATGCCATGAGAAGCTTCGAGCTTCTTACCATTGGCTCTGGTGGGAAGAAGAGGAAATGAAGTTAGGGACGGAGAAGTCGATGGTTATGAAAAAGACATGTCCGCTTATTAGATCCTCATCCTCTGAAAAAAAACGCATTGTTTCTTACACTTGGACAAGATGAGAGAGACAGAAAGTGATTATCTAATCTGCCTCTCCCAATCTCTCTCATTGTATGTGTTTAAGAGAAATTGTTCATATATGTGTAACTTTTGATGAGTACTTGATTGTTTTTCTTCTTTCTGTTTTCAAATACTTCAATGTAGAATGAAAATATGAAAACATATCTCGCTTTCGCAGACTAAAACTTAAAACTGTAATATCCCAAAACTGTAATATGAAAACGTATTGAAGTTGTATTGATGTTTTGGCAAATGTTGTGCACATAAGAGATTGGACAATGATCTGCTTCTGCCAAAATATCGTAGACTATATTGATAAAGATATGCTCGTACATATAGTTCTTTTCCAACACAGAGAGCTAGACAAAGGTTACATCATCTCTAAGGCTACCTTTTTGAACAGAGAAAAGAAGAAGACATAGCGACTAATGTCTTCTGAGAGTGATGAATGGAGTGGAGCTGAGATGAGCTACGATGGGTGATGAAAGTTCATCATCAACTTGGTGCTTCGGTGTCATTCTTGAGATGGGCGTAAACTGCATCTTGTTTTCTATGGGAGTTAGTGGAAGTGGACTCGCCTGTGCAAGACTTTGAAGTTGTAAGCTCTTTCCCGGTCTGAGAGTAGCAAGGTGAGCGTGTCCATTGCAGAAAGGCAGGCTCGCAGCTTTTACTGTTGATTCCTTCTCTTTTGCCACTTGAGCTCCACATGGTTCCTTCAAACATTGAAATTAAAACAGCATTTGAGGATCAGAAGATAAACAAACAGAAATGAAACGCTTGTTGGGTTTACTGGTTTATTATTACCCCAAGCTTGAGAAAGGTGAAAGCTTGGTTATCAGATCCAAGGTAGATCTCAATAAGCTTCCTCAAGTCAGCTAGTGTTGCGTCTTTTGTAACTCTCAGTGTTGTTATGAGCTGCTGCTTCAGAGGGTTATCACTAGTTGCTTCCCATTTAACATAGATATCAAGCTGCCCGCTTTTGCTTTCATCAACTGAGAGATTACTGTTCTCCTTTGCGTCTTCCTTATGCGTTGCAAGAAACAACTGATCACTCTTGGCTTCAAGAACCTCCTCAGTGTGTTGAGACAGCTCTCTCTGATTGCCACAGAGTGTGAAAATGTTCTGGATTCTCAACTTTCTAGATGATGCTGATTCTTTGTTGTCTGTACCGTTAGAGCAATTCTCTTTACCTAAACCTTCAAACTTCAAACTAGGCGTTGGTGTTGTTGTTGTTATCGAGCAGATGCTTTTATCCTCGACGATCACTTTCTCTTCATCTTCTTCAGCCTCTTCTTCTTCAAAGACAGTGCTCAGGCATACCCTGTCCGGGTACATTTGCGCAAGCAAATTCTCTGAAGGCTTTGGTTGCAACACGTTAGACAAATCGCTTGGTCCCCAGAGCTGCTTGACTGGCTCTTGATCGCCCATGTCAAGATCCATTGACTTCACCATGTCTTCATCAGAGTAAAGACCCCTGAGTCTTTTAGCAAACCCACTAGTTTCATCTATACTTCCTCTTCCTCCATCCTTTGAGCGCTTGAACTCAACCTCGATTTCCTCCAACCTTCTCCTCATCATCTCCAGCTCCTCTTGCTGCTGCACAATCCTTTCCTCCATCCTCCTTCTCTCCATCTCAACAAACTCCTCAGCCATTCTCCTGCACTCCTCAAGTTTCTTGTCTAGCTCTGCTTTCAAAATCTGTGTTCTCTCGTTCACTTTCTCTTTGATCTCCTCTTCTTTGGTAGCACATGCTTCCTTCTGCGTCAAAAGAGATCGCAAAGCAGCAACTTCCTCTTCCTTCTTCTTCAGCTGCTTTTGTGCATCGTTCCTCTCTTTTTCTTGATGCCTCTTCTCAGACTGGAGTTTGCAAATAAACTCATCCATGGCAGCGATTCTCGACCCCAAGATCACAGCAGAGGAAGACTCATCACCTCCATTCTTATCTCTGTTCGGAGTATGAGACCCACGAACTATGCACTTTGCTTTTGCACCATACTCTAGAGTGCAGAGAGTCTTGTGCATCTCCTTTGGATCCGGACTTGCACATAAGATCATTAGAATCTTTGACTTGTCATCTTCAAAAGAGTCCTGCATCCACACAAAAACATAAATATCTTCAAGCAGCCATATAAAACACCTTTCAGGAACCAACAATAGAGAAACTAACCTGAAGCAGCATTGTCAGTTTGCTGTCTCTAAAGGGCACATGAGAGTCACCATTTGCTATTGATTCCACAACTCGCTTCAACGCAATGTTTCCCTGATTGATCTTAGCAGTCTGTTGAATACAGAGAGACATAAGTCAATAACCATAAGACAATTTGATAGAGTCAATAATGAAGTGAGAGAGATTAGAGAAGCAAACATTACTTGCATCTTCGCCTCAAATCCAGTCTGGCCAGCTTGGTCTATGTTCTCAGAACCAGCCATGTCCACAAGCATCAACCTTCCTCCAACAGTTGGCACATCTAGTATGATCTGCAGAACAGAAACAATCACTTATAAAATTTTGTAACATACAGAAAATGTGTAAATGCTTCAAATCAAGTTGTAACGAACCATGCAGTGACTACGAGAACTTCTTTCATTACATAGAGTGCTTTTCACAATCCTACGCTTCTCCACTTTCACAATCTCTTTAGCTATTTTCCCAGCCTCTGTCCCTGAAATAAAGGTTGCGTTTTTCGCCTTCTTTCCCATTACTTCAAGCCTAACCTGTTAAAATCAACAAAAGCACAAATCCTTTAGACAAGACTGTTCCAAAAGATTCCTCATTTCCAAGCCATCAGCACAAATTTCAAGAAAGGAACGAAGAAATTTACCTTAGTGCTTGCTCCTTTAGGCCAACCAATCCCTAGATTGTTGCTACTATTTGTCGAAAGAAGATCATAAATCTCTTCATTATAAACCTCAAGAACAGTGACCTGAACGAAAGTAACACCATCTTGATCCGAATCTCCGAGAATATCCCTCAAGGACCGATACACGATCCCAGGTTGCTTCCCGCATCCAAACATCGTGTGGCTCTTTCCGGCACCGGTAGGTCCGTACATCATGATCGTGCATTTGTTCCCGACCTTCACGCCTTTGATCCTCTCTTCGATGAACTTCTTGTAGAACGATTCGAGGCCTTCTTGCTCCGAGAAAGAAACGCCGTCGAGCGTGAAGTCTCTGTACCCGACATCGGCTTTGACTCGGACCGTTTGGTTATCTGGGTTCACTTGCAAGATCGAAGCTGGCTTCTCCTTCCGATCTGGGTAGTCTCGGATCCGGCCGACCACTTCGACTGGGTGCTCCGGTGGGATCTGGTCTTTGGACGCGTCTGGGTTTGGGGTTTTCGAGTGGAAATTGAGGCGTTGTTTGGTTTGTGGGGTTCTGATTAAGGTGAATTGGGTTTGATTCGATCTAGCGGATGATGGCGTCGGAGCCATTTTAGAAGTTTTTCAAGATTTGAAGCTTCAGTTTTGCAGATTGAGAGGGAGAGAGAGAGAGAGAGAGAGCGGAGAGAGAGAGAGAGTGTGAAATTGAAATGGGGGATTAGGGTTTGAGATTCTCGAGGTATCAACGAAGTTTGAACAAACAAAACATAACCGTTGTATCTCTTAACGGCTAGTTTTTGTCCACGGGCCAGCGATATAAAGTAATATATATTATTACCCTTTTATATATTCGGCAACTAAAATATATTTATTCGTTTTTTTTAAAGGGCAGTGAGATTTTAAAAGTTTGCGTACTACGGGCTTATTGTTTATTTACATATATGGGCTTTAATATTTATAAAAGCCCAAAGTATGTAAGCAAGGTCACTAGGGTTTCTTTAAACACTCTTATAAGTTCCGTTCCTTAAGATTTTTGTTGTGGTTTTTGGCAGCGGACGACGACGGCGTGAGAGCTTCACCGAAGAGAGAAAATGGTGACTCTCTTCTCTTTAGTTGGCTTCTGTTAAATTTATCATAGTTTTAGGAGGAGTTTTCGTATTTCGTAGAGGTCTATTTGGTCGCCGAGATATTCAGAAAAAAATAATCGTCAAGAAACTAAATTGTTTTTTATAGATCTGTTCTGCGATTTTTGTTTTTCTTGAGTGATTCTGCTTCTTGAATTGTGAATTGAGTCTAATTATTAGTTCAGAAATCTGTTGCGTACTTTCTCGATTGTACTCTTGAGGATTTACTATTCAATGCACTTAGAGTTTAGTCCATTTATTTTGAAGAAGAATCAAAATGATCTAGTGCTGCTCACTTGTTATGTATCTCTACTTATTCTGCTGCAATTCAGTTCTGACAATTAATTGAAGTTGATGTACTTAATTGTGAAAGGAGATTATCACTCGTAGCTATTTGAGTAGTCAGATCGTTTTATGCACTTGTTATGTTTAGCAAATTGTGTTGTAAATCTCTTAGGTTTTCCCAAATAGTTCGAAAACATAAGCATCTTATTAGTCTCGGCTATTTGAGTAGTTGGATCTTGTGATTACATGTTATTGAAACCAATTCTTGTTGAAGCTAGCTCAAAGTTTGGATCTTGTGAATGGTAGGTGAACATTCCCAAGACTAAGAAGACTTACTGTAAGAACAAGGAATGCAAGAAGCATACCTTGCACAAGGTTACCCAGTACAAGAAGGGTAAAGACAGTCTTGCTGCCCAAGGAAAGCGTCGTTATGACCGCAAACAATCTGGATATGGAGGTCAGACCAAGCCCGTCTTCCACAAGAAGGTAACCCCTAACGCTGAAAATTAATTTTTTGTTGCTTTGTCGTGGCTTTATTTGTTATAATCTGTGAACCATCTGACTTTAGTTTAGAGACTGTTTGTTGACTTTGTGAAACATCTGTGATTCATGTAAATAACCTTATTTTGAATGATCGGTTTAGTTTCATCTGTGCTCATAATTTTTTATTGTTTTGAAACAGGCAAAGACAACCAAGAAGATTGTCTTGAGGCTTCAATGCCAAACCTGCAAGCATTTCTCTCAACACTCGATTAAGGTAATAAGAACAAGTTTGGTTTCTGTACAATACAAGTCTCTTGAGCTTTGTTTCTTACATTTGTGTGTGATTTTGCAGAGGTGCAAGCACTTCGAGATTGGTGGAGACAAGAAGGGAAAAGGAACATCTCTCTTTTAAGTTGTTTCCTCTTATCTACTTTCATTTCTTTTCTTGTTTTGTACTGTCTTTGCTTCGACACTCATATTATATTTTGAAACTTTCAGAAATAGTTGTGGTGTTTTAAGTTACCTTCCAAGTTTATGAACCAAATCATTCATGAGTTTGCAGTTGAGTTTTCTCCTCAACTTACTACAAAGCCTAATCGTCACAGTAGATATACTAGTCCCGTAGAAATATTGTTTTCAGTATGAAATTCATTGAAGCTATGGATCAAGTTCAATCCGAATTCGTTCTAAATTCGAGGTAATATATTTGAGCAGAGAATCAATTTTAAAACTATAAATACTTTATAGATATCAACCAAATGGATATTATCTTGGGCTAACTATGCTCTGTTTCAGCATCTCAGAATCATCACCTTTTCCAATCAAAACCAGATTTTTTATAAACTCTGTACATTTTTCCAACCGCTGCTCACTTCAAGTGTTTCATTTATAAAAAGAGATCATACATAAAGTTACAACTTATAATTTAGGGTGCCATGACCTCACACTTACTAAATACCCTGTATTGCATAACCAAACTTCCTAAGAGAGACCCATTAACCCTCAAGCAAGAGAGTGTGACTCTGTGTGTGGTCTTAGTAAAGGAGCTCTAAAATTTGGAGCTACAGAGGGCATATTATTACATATGTGATTTTTTTGATTAATTATATATTGTTAATTTCAATTCAAATTTCTTTTACTAAAATTGTAAATTGTAACAAAGATAACCGAGTGTCAAAGGATATTGATTAGATTTAAATACATCTTTAATTTTGTTGTAGAATAATGGGTTTGTTCTGCAAGTGTTGCTATTTTAAATAACGTGGTATCAATTTTACTCATTTTACACTTGCTTTAAATCACTTGTTAAAAAAAAGTAAGTAGTAAAGTTTTCTTATGATATATTTTAATTAATAATATTCCCTCTGCTTTGTATAGTGCTGTTTTACTAAATCAAATGAACCTAGTGAATGTACAGATTGGTTTCAAAGCTAGCTATCTAGAAATAATGATATTGTTTGTTATGGAACAACAATACTTGTAACTAATGATGAGTTACGAAGTAAAAGCTCTCAATCATGTGGCATTTATATGGCCTTCGAAATTTACAGAAGAAATATTCCATTTTTTGCATTAACGTTCGTCCTTTTATGATGTATGTGTTTATTGTCGCTGCAAGTATACTACCAAATATGTAAAATGACAATTAATCAACAATTATATTTGTTTGTGTGTTACATAGCGCTATAAATATTGAGGAATTTTCTCGAATGAAAAAACGTGGAAGACAATAACTAGACTTAAATTTCATCGATCAGATTAAAGCAACGCATATGTGAATCCCCGATTTGAAGTTATATAGCATATAACAGGCACCATTTTGGCTTGGTCACATAAATTATAGATGATAGTTAAATACATAACGTACTGGATTTCAAATCATATTCATAAAAAGGGTTACTTCAGTTGGAAGTAAAATGGTAATAAGAAAACCACAAAAAAAATTCTGTAACTCTATTTTTGTCTACTTCTGCTTGTGCTATACATATGCACACACAAGTCAAATTTGAGACTAAAATTAGATAGGAAAACAATTGGGAGAAAAGATAAGAGCAAACACGAATTAAAAAAAAAATACTATTGGATTATATCATTCCAAATGTAAGCAACGCATGGTGAGTAGCAATCTGAAGATATATATAATATCATAGAGTGAATACACGGTTTTTGGTTTTCTCTGATATCGTATACATAGTAAATATAAGATATTACATGATACTAATCATTTGAAAAACAAAGCGATAATTCACTTGGAAGTAAAATGAAGATAGAGAAACACAAAAAACAAGATGACCGGAATCATCAAGATAAGTGAAACAGATGGAGCAGCCACTGGTCCCATCATCAGCGGAAGCACCAGTAACAGTAACGCAACGATCGCAACCGCCACAATCGAACCAAATCCGATTCCACTCTCATTCGCCATTTTTAGTTTCTGCTTCGTTTTCTTTTATAGTTCTTGTCTGTTTATGTCTTATTTTAATAAGTATTTATAAGAAGATTTGACACGTCAATCAACAGTTGTGTCGTTTGCCCGAAAATGTAACACAACGGTTCGTGTATCAATGCATGAGAGAACAACGCCTTTCACGTTAACGCACCACCAAACTCGAGACGCTGCGTTTCATTGCTTGTTTATTGCTGTCACGTGTTAGGAAAAACGCAGCGTTTTGAGGCAATCGATATATTGATTTTTGAAAATTAAAACGCAGCGTTTAGAGGAAACAAAATTCGAAATCTAAAATAACTTTTTGACTTTTTTTTATTCCCGAGATCCCGCCCAAATCACAAAAGCGAATTTTGAAACTCTTTAATTTTGTCTGCTAGTGATTACAATATTCCTCCATTTATTTGTTTAGTGCTTTTTCTTTCAAAATCAAAGGACTTTTTATTCCCCCAAATTTTTCTTATTTTCAAAATCCTAAATCATTTTGCCCTAAGATTTTACGATGTCAGCTCCATCGAATCGCCGCCGGCTAAAAGATATAAACTCCGGCGCCGGAGAAAACCCATCTTCTGGTAAAAAACCCTTGAGGTCTGTAACTCCAGTTCCAATCTCCAGCAAAAACCCCAGTCCTACTCTCCAGAAATCACTATCGAGCAAAGAGAATCCTAAGCCTAGTCACCGGACTTTTGGATCGACGCAGAAGCCAGCGCTCCGACCGGTACCGCGCATCGATAAGTCCGCCGTGAGAGGTGGTGTCGGTGATGGAGAGGGTCGGGTTACGCGATCCACGTCTTCTGGGTTCCGAGGTAGGAGTTCTAGCCCATCTGATTTAGTCAGGGTTTTCTCGGATTTGAGAAGGAGAAATGAATCTAGGGTTACTGGAGAGAAGGGTGAATCAGATCAGGATAAGAAATCTGGGTACAAGGCCTCCGGTTTCAATCAAAGTGAGAGTGAAAGTAAAGTCGGCGATAGGGTTTGCGAGGAAACAGATGAAGAAGTTAAAGCTAAGACAAATTTAAGCTCTGGTCCAGTGAAATCAAGCAATTTCGAGGGTTCGAGAAACTCGATTTCTGATCCAAAGGCAAATGATTTGCTTGGTGTTGGAGAAAAATCTGCTGCTGCTTCTAAATCTGATGGTAGAGTTGAAAAGATTGGGAAAGTGACTACTGTAGCTTTAAGAAGGAAGTCTATGGATAATGTTGGGAAGGCGATGGAGA